TCTTTTCTGGGTTACACACTGTTCCTGATGTGTTCCTGATTTGGATATTTAGTTTTTTTAATAGGCATCTCAAATGTAGCAAAACCCGGGCCAGTGTGGCTCAGTTGGTTGGAGCATCATCCCACACACCGAAAGGTTGTGGGTTCGATTTCTGGTCAGGGCACATACCTACGTTGTGGGTTCGATGCCCAGTCGGGGTGCATACAGTAGGCAACTGATCGTGATGCTCTCTCATCATGGATGCTTCTCTCTCTCTCCCTCTCTCCCTCTCTTCCTCTGAAATCAAGATATTTAAATAAAATTTTTTAAAAAGCAGACTCGGTGAGAGTGAGACCCAAGGGGTGTGGGGAGCACGAGAAAAGGGCGCAGCCCGGGGGAGGGGATGGTCACTCCCCCCAAAGCTGCAGGGATTGACCGAGTGACCCCCCCCCACCTCCCAACGCACCTTACTCCAGTTGCCCGCAGGGGGGAGCAGGGGCAAGTGTGTGTGTGTGTCTGCACTCCCAGGGCCTCAGTTTTCCCATCTGCAAAATGGGCTCCTCCGCCCACCTCCCCAGGGGCTGGCGAGGATGAGACGTCCCTGCTCGGAGGGGACCCCGCTGTCCAGACGGAACCAGCTGGGGAGGAGGTCTGGGTGCCTTGCTGGGCCTCCATCGGTCCTGCCCCACCCCTACCCCCACCCCCACATGAGGGACCCGAACAGAAGCTCCCTCCTCCTGCAGGGATAATCTGGGGTTTGGGGATGGTGGAAGGCAGTGGGGTTCAGTCAGAGGAGAGAGCCTGGGGGGCCCTGCTAATGGGAGGCTGCCCCACCCGCAGCTGCTGGGAGTGAGCTCCCTGTCCCCAGGGGCATTCAAGTCTGAGGGAGAAGAACACTCCAGCCGCCCCTCATCAGTGGCCCCTGTGCTGGTCAGGGAGGGCCTCTGTGGCCTCCAGAGCCCCTCGGCCTACCCCCCACCCACCGCTCAGCAGGGAAACTGAGGCACGGGGGTGGCGATCCCCCGGACACTTGCCTGGCTCCAGTC